CCTTGTTCATTGCCTAAAAATGGCATATACTCCCATATTTACATGACATTCACTTGAAACGGGCTGGCGTTTTCTAAAACCTAAAACGCACAAGTTTTACACCAACTTATAAAATACACCATCTTTAGGTGATGTGCCGAGCGGCGCGGTGCAGGCGTCGCGCGGCCTCAAACAAGCAACCATGGAAGTACAGAGCAGCAAATATGTAGCTGAGGCGAATGTTCTGAGGCGGGCATTCAAGGACAGGCGTTTATTTTTTTTGTCATTCTGAGGCGGGCTATCTGAGACAGGCATCTGAGGCGGTCATTCTGCGGCAGCGGGAGCGGGCGGGCGTTCATAGGCGGGCGTTCTGCATGGCGGTGTCCTGAGGCAGCGAAGCGGGAGGGCATTCTAAGGCGGGCGTTCTATCACAGCGTCCTGGAGCGGCGATCATGGGCGGACGCAATGAAGGACAGCAGCAGCGATAAAGGTGTTTGGGGTAGCTTTTCTCGATGGCAGTGCGTGTGGTATAATGGCCGACTTATTGGAACGGAGTCAGCTGCAGATATAAGGCGTCGACAGCTGACAGCCGCCCAGATGGCGGAGAGAAGCGTCAGACGCGCTAACCAGATTTCAGACACCGCACGGAACTCACTGGGACTGGGATATAATCAGACTCAGACCCTGCACGGAAGTCACTAAAACAGAGTGACAAGGCATCAGACAGTGAACAAAACCGACTGAGACACAAACAGGGATGACGCGACATAAGACAACGAAGGAAACTCAGTGGAACAGCAATTGTCAGACATCAGCCATTGAGAAGGAGCTACTTGATGTAGGTCAACCGAAATCATCCTAGGCAAATTCCCAAGGTATCCCTCGTGGTTCCGGGGTCGTTTTTGTCACCCCTCCCCTCTCCTTGACAAATATTTGCGATATCTTTCAAACGTTTGCCATCAATTTGACATCTTCTGAAGTTTTTTTTTTTCATAACAAGTCCCCTGATGAACAGCTCTATCAATAAAAGAGTTTTAGTGATAAAGACAAAATACGAGCCCGGTTGTGTAGCATATGCACTGAAGCAGTTACACAAATAATTTTGGTGCCCTGAAGCCAAAGGAAGGCATGGTCAAAAACATCTACAGGGTGTTTCACTAAAAGTGTCAAAAAGTAAATGCCTATTAAATATATATAAAATATGCAAATCACGTGGTTGCGCACGTGGCTTTGTTGCAAATTTTTGGACATTTATGCTTTGTCCATTTAAGATATATTTTACACTCATATGGAGCGAGGGCAGGAGGCCAAAGTTACTAGTCGTTTTTTCCTTATGCAGAACAAGAACACTGAACAGGTTATTTACACCGCAACAGGAGGGGTGAATTACACTTACATTTGGTGCCATCAGAAACATTGAAACCGTATGCCGACTTGTCAGGAAACGTTTTATTCTCTCACCTCGCTATACGTTCCAGATTATAAAAGGTTCAAAGGGCTTCTTGAGAGGTTTAAAAGGGTTCCTTCGATGCCGGTCCCAGTCCAAAAAAGACGGGGTCCCCCACCTCTCGGCGGAAACCGTTGAAAAGGTCAGGGTCTTTTTGAGGGTCTTTGAAGATAACAAGAAGCTAATTTCAACATCAGAAATAGCCAAGGCCTTACAAGTTATCAAAAACAGCCACTATAATGGCTGTAACCACCAGGAACTGGCTGGATTAGAAGTTCCTGCGCCGAAAAATCAGCTGCCTCGCCGCCCGCCTCTGGCCAGCGCAAAGCCCCCATCTGTCACCGCTTTACTTCTGGTTTTGGTCAGTAGCTCTCGCAGAGCTGAGGAAGACTCAAGTCGCATCACTTCGGGAGCTGAAGAGCACCATTCAAGGTTTTGCCGACAGTCTGGACGCTGAAGATGAAAACGGGCTGTGAGGCACCTCCGGACTCGTGCCAAAACGGTGCATCAAAAGAAGGGGCGGATATGTGGAATAGGTTTGAGTGACGGTGCTATCGTTTTCATATATTCAAATGTCCAACAATTGCGGATGAAATGGTATGCAAATTTCCGTAGAAAACATTGTTATTATGTGCATTATGACCTTTTACTTTTTGACACTTTTAGTGAAACACCCTGTAGCTAGGATAAGCATTTAAATGCCTCGAAAAAATCGACAAAAATGATCGTAGCGCTACGACAGTGGTGCCAAGGCATTTCTCGTGTCAAGACGCGTCGAATGAGATGCACTTGGTTGGACACAGTCAAGTTTTATGTTGCCCTCATGTGACCTTGAATGATCCTGGATGACCTTGACGCATGGTAGGTCTTGCGTATTTGTGTCCGCTGATCACGACTCTGGCACCCATTGGCAGCCTAGCATTGTTACATGAACCACAAAAAGGGGCCTGATCAACTTGAAAATATTTCAAAGCATTTTATGCTTCGGCAAATACGATACAGGTACGTAAAACTGAAAAGTGTATGTTTGAGGCGATTTTTTTGACGTTAACCTCAAACTTCGAGGACATCAACAGATTTCTCATAATGTCTTCTTCCGTTTCAACCAAGTTTGCCTGATTTTATGCGTACTGTCATATTCTGCGACACGTAGCTTAAGTTCACTATACGAGTATATGTGCTTGTTTTTGCCTTTGACCTCTAGCTTTGACAATTGAGTGGGGGGGAGGGGGCTTATTTGGATAGTAAGATAGGGAGAGGGGCGAAAAACGTCCCCGGGCTGCGGTAGTTGGATCCCCCCCCCCCCCCGGCCCTGGCCGGGTATAACACCACCGTGGTCTGATATTTTATAATGCCATCAATGCCTATAGGGCTTATTTTGCACAGCAGGACATGCTCTGTACTATGTGATGGAGCCTAACCCTCGCCCGTAAACGGCGATCTGCCACCTTCGCCCATGCAGGGGGGGGGGGGTTGGTGCGACCCCCCCCCCCTTGGCGTTTGAAAACGGAGCGTTGTAGAGCTTAGCGGAAAAGACCAACGGATTGCTCTCGCCGAGATCTCGCGATTGGTGGCATATTTTTTGGTCCTAGGTCAACATTTGACCTACTTTTGACCGGTCAAAGGTCAAATTTTCGGAAAATATACTTTTTCAACTTTCGGCGGCGATTGCGGCAAAACGGTGGGAGATATCGACTTCAAACCTTCACTATCGTGTTCCTTGATCAATTCTCTATCGTTTGGTATGTATTTCGTTTCCCTAGCTCTAAAAATGGCGCGTTGGGAGCGCCGGAAGTCTGCAAGGTCACAGTCGGCGGCAGAAATTCGAAAAATCAAAATTTAAATTTTTGAAATCTGATTGTATTTTTGGATTTGGGAGGTCCATTTGCTCCCTATAGAAGCTAATATTGCTGCATATTCCCATTGAGGTGACAAGAATTAGCAAAATAGTGGTTCGGGCGCTTTTCAAAAATAGTACCGGACGCTGTTCCTCTTGTGACGTCATAGCTCCGTGACCTGACCTGACCCGGTCAAGTTTCTTATACCATATGATAGCCAATACTTGCCCCAACATGCACGGGAAGTTTCATCACGATCCATCAACCAATCTCCGTACCACCGGCAGGAAACCTCGGGCGTTGGCACTCAGTTTGTGAAAATCCGGCCGGAGGCTGTTCCTTTTGTGACGTCATAACTCCGTGACCTGACATGACCCGGTCAATTTTTTTTTATCAAAAGATGCGCAAGGTTTGCCCCATAAGGTACCCAAGCCGTTTTTGCACTATTTCCGAAAAACCTCAGGGGGGGGTGCACCAACCCCCCCCCCCCTACATGGGCGAGGGCTAATAAGAGCCTAATAAGATTAGATTGTTCCTAACTAGTACCTAATATTGTAAAAAAGGCAATAAGGCATTCAACGTAACCTGCTTGTGCTTCCTGAAATTTCATGGAATTCCTTTCCTTTATTAAATACTCAGTGGTTGATTCAGGTACAATATACGCACATGCCACCAGATCCGGAGCCAGCATCCCTCCCCAGCAGCACGGCACGGTACGCGGCCCGGCCCGTGCAGGCTCCCAGGCCGGTGCCGGCCGGCAGCTGGCGCAACTAACGGCTTTGGTCAGCGCGTACAGGACAGATGGCGTACGACCGCGACAGGCGGACACGGAATAATAAGTCATAATGCCCGACAGCGACCTCGCTATGTGGCCACAGAGGCATCCGAGCGCAGTTATCAGTGAATAGAAATATGAAAAAACGGCGATGAGATGGTGTGTTTGACAATTGAGCAGCAGAGAGCCTGTAATACAAACAGGCCGTTAACGGTTAGCTTGCGATTGGCCATGGATGAAAAGCAGCTGATTAAAATGTCAGACATTCATTTGAAGGCAAAAATGACTGAAATTTTTGTCTATTATGGCTTGGTCATGCTGCTAAGTGATGAATTTTCATATGTATGTAGGTGGTTGCTTAATGTTAGTACTGAAGAAATTAGAAGTTTCTGACATCAAAGTTCTCTCGTCAGCTGAAAATATAACATATTTGTCAGGTTTTAAATATTTTTGAATGAAAAAGAACAAGTCAATAAAGAAGATAGATTTCAAGATAGATTTCAAGATAGATGAGTCAGAAAAGATGCAAAGATGCAAAATATTTCAATTTCCTTACTGCAGCATACTCAAAAATACCAATGGCATAGGATCTACAAGGTCACCTTTTTTAGATGCCTGCCAAACCCGTGAGCAGTGTTCTTGCTCCGGGTCGGGTGTATGCTAACGGGCTGCTGTCTGGAAACTGAACAGTGTATACCTATTGTATAACCTCTCCTGCCGTCGGTACTCTGTGACACGTGCTGACAGCTGCCCGGTGACCTCCGTCATCCCCAGTGCCATCTGTCGCCCCTGACCATGCGGGGTCAGCACGGCACCCAGTCGCCCGCCGCTATCCCGACCAGCCACGTGACTGCGCCGGCGGCCGCGGCGCCACTCCGGCAGCCGTCACGTGACCGGCCCCGGTACCGCTACCTGCTCTGACGCGCGGCCCGGCGCGTCGGCGACGGCATTCGAGCGGCCGCCGGCGCAGCGAGTGCAGGTGCCGGGTGAGGTCCGGACCGGTGGAGAGAGAGCGCCTCGCACGGAGGCGGTGAGCGCGGAGGACAGAGGACGGCTCACAGAGGACTGGTCATGGTGCTCCGGTGGGCGATGGCAGCCGCGCTGCTGGCAGTGGGTGAGTACGTGACACCGCGACAGGAGCGGGCGCGGCCCCCGTGACCCCGATCAGTGTCACCGTCCCGGTGACCCGCACAAACCCAGCAGTCGCTGTGCAGTGTGCAGCGATGCGGGCGCCCGATGGGAGCTGCGATAAAGGTCAATCAAAGTCAGTCGGAGTCTGGCATGTGGCAATCACGTTGGAATATTTTGCTTCGGGCTCGATTTTTTTTTTTTTTTACTTGTTACTTATTTTACAAACGAAATCCTTGAGTTTGCTCCAGGAGTGCTGAGTACAAATGACAGCCACAAAATTGGAAGGAATGATTAGGGTCCAAAGGCGATTTGATTGCCAAAATAAAGTTCAGACTAATTAGCCGTGTTATGATGCTTTGTAGCAAAAACGATGTTTTATTCCGAATTGTAATGCCTAATTTGCACTCTTTGTATAACTTCTTTTTATAACCGAAAAAGTTTCTATTCACTAGAAAAATGAAATATCTCAAATACTACAAACACAATTAACCCCATTGACAGACACAATGAAGCCAAATTACCCATTCCATCATTCATTCAGCGTACGGTCCATCGCCGTCCTAACCAGTCACCGTTCGAAATCAACCGGTGATGCGTGAGCTCCGGAGTTAACCCGGCCAAGCTAGTCATGCCTAGTGAGCGAGCTTCGCTTCGGCTGATTGGTGACTAACGAAAGAAAGTCAACTATCCTACTTACCGAGCCACATCACTATCATCGAATGTGTGGACTTTGAACACTTCGTCGCCTCTCTCCCTCTGGAAGTGAGAACTTTGATATATAAAAACCTGTCTAATGGCGTGTCGCACATGCAGGGCCACTTTCCTGACCTCAGCCCGCCGCGCTGCCCATTACCCAGTGCCGATGAAGTGACAGAGCTCATAAAGACGGCGGACCGACAGATCAGGTCTGACCGACCGGTCCAGCTCCGGTTCATACTACCCAGACTTGGTCGGTGCTGGCCCTAAACAGTCAGCCGCCCGAGCGGACACAGAACACTAATCCACTGTCATTGTGCGTTAGATGGGCTTGTCAACACCACATACCAGTCACTGAGTAATCGTTCTGTGTAGCGGCAGTGCGGCACGGGCGGCGGGCGGTGCCGACTTCGGCGAGGATTAATGGCATAGACACCGGCGACTGTCGGCGGAAGGCCGCTGCTCATCAACCGAGGCCCTCGTCTCAGACCATCAGAAGACGGGTATACAGATCGCACAATGTCTCAAGTGTCCGGGAAAAGAAACTGCATTTGTAAATCAGTATTACTCCGCTACATTGCTGTGGAGTGGTAGTGATAGTGGTAGCGGGATGTCAACAAAGGAGAGCCGCAGCCGCAGTGGGCAAGTCAGATCAAACCACTACCACGCCTGATTAGAAAAATGGCACCTACAGTCGGAAGTGGTGGCCGGCGCGGCAGTCCGATTTCTATACCCGCAGCATGACCCATACCGGCATAACCCCACAGCCGAACAAACCAGTATGTGTAACCACTGGAGCCTTCCCATACGAGGCACATGAAAGTAAACCGCTATGCCAGCCCCATACCAGCACATTTCCGATACCGGTGAGACCAGATAAGAGCCTCTAATCCAGATACACCAGATTGGCGGTCTGCATATTGAGTCCGCATGGTCCGATCGGTCAATGCAGGCGTACTCCAGGGCTTAGAATCAGTGACAGAACCAGGAAGCAATGCGGTTATTCCATGCATTCGCAATGACAGGAGGGGCATTCCACGATAGATCGTACCACTTTTTTCCAATTTGACACCCTCATCTCTCGGAATTTGACGAGAATTGGTCTCAGGGGTAATCAGGGGCTCTGAATCCACCTGTAACAATTTCAGGCTAATCAGATAAGTATTTTTTGAGTTATGGTGTGTAACATTTTTTGGATCTTGCCTTGCAGCGCTAAGTTTGGCGGGCTGTAACTCTAAGACGGATTATTCAAATGCCAAATGTTATATAACATTGAACTTGCAATGAAACAGAGATTAATATGTATTTTTGAAATTTCGAAAATACGCTTTTTTTGATATATGACATATCGAGTTTTCTTTCATTTGTATTTTTTGGACTTAAGGACCAAATTTTTTTGAATTTTTATTTCTTTAAAAAAATATTTGGCTCATTGTTAAGAAGTATGCAAAAAATTAGGAAGGTGTTCTTTCTATAAATGTATTTATTTTACGTCACGATAACGGTTTCGAATAGTGATTTCGGGAGGGGAGCTTACAAATGGCGTGGTAAAGCTGCCTAGTGACATCACGGGGTACTGAAATTTCAATTCAAGTCTGAGTCATCTGAAAAAAGTGAAAAGAGGGTTCATTCAACCCTCTTCCCTATAAGCGCGAGGGTGAAAAAGGCTGTTTGGTTCTGACATTGTTTTGGACGCCAATGACCATAGCTGTCCGAGATGAAAGTTACAGGACGCATACATGGTGTCCTCCAGAGGTCTCACAACTTGTATATCTGGGAATTTTTCAAGGTTACATGAGGTCAGGTCGGTCACGTGACATCACTGTTATAAATCAATGGGGAAATATAAAAACTGTTATTTTGGCGCCGAGAACGATCTAAAACTATCCCACGTATATGGTATCGTGATTTCATGCACTCCTTGCAAAGTCCAATGCTTTACTTTTGCATTGTTAACCTTGCGTGACGTCATTTATGACGTCACTAGGGTCGTACGAGTTTTTCGTCAATAACTCCCGATCAAATGGAGCTAGAGAGTCGGGAAAGCCACCAATGGACTCGGGAAGACCTTCCGAATCGAATGATATGCCATGTGATACCCTTTGCCCAGCTTCGTGACCTGAGGGGCTCTGACCTGACCTTGAACCGAGGTCAACTACTTAAGTTGACCTCACCCTAGCAAAAAGTATACCATTCGATGCACCTGAGCTAAGCGAACACAATGATGCCAAAATCGCGGCTCTGCGGCCATTTTTTGCGAAGTTATTTACTAAAAACCGAACCCGTAACTTCAGTCACGTGACCTGACCTCAGACGCTACCGGTTAACCTGAGACCTTAACCCGCGCCCCGTTGGGCTCTGCCGAGCAACGCGCCCGGTTGGGGGGGGGGGGGGCCATTTTGGCCCCCCCTAAGATCTCGAGAACCACGCAACATAGCGACAAGCGGTAAACGGCGTTGAATAGCCCCAACGGGGAACTACCTTGTGACCCAATTTTATTGACCTAGGTCAAACCGATGACGTCACAGGTCAGGTCAAAGGTCCAATTTTCACCGTTTACAGGCACTTCAAGAAATGCGTTGTAAAATCGAGTAAAATGCATTTCATTGAAAATCATCGATGGGGAAATGTTCTTCAAACACATATTTTGCTATTTGAGGTCACTGATACCAGGTCAGGTCACAGAGGTCAGGTCACAGGGGGGTCACAATATGAAAGTGTCGTGTGATACATGTTTTATGGTCCATTTTATATGACAAATGCGATTATATGGGTCAGGCAGCCATTGGGGCCAGCTTAGATCACGTTTTGGTCAAGGTCAGGTCAAGGTCAGGTCAAGGTCAGGTCAAGGTCAGGTCAAATTAGGTCAAATTTCAAAGTTAATATTTTTGCATAAAATGGGTATCGAATCGATGCAGCTCGTCACGGGGAGTTCAATGGTGGTCTTTGTTTTGCCGTACGTGGTCTAGAATTGCTAAAAATTGAGTTCAAAAATTTGACGTCATCATTTTTGAACAGTTTTTTCGCTATAACTTGGCCAAAAAACGAGATATCGATCTGAAATTTGGTATGTATATAGAAGAGCGCTGGTACTATCACATATATTCCGGTTTTTTTCGAAATTCGGAAAATTTTTGGATTTTTTCAAAGTTTTTCTAAAAAAATCAATTTTTTGATTTTTTTTGGTCAAAAACCAAAAATTTTGAAAATCCGAGATAGCAGTTTTGTAGCGCCGTGTTTTGTCTACTAGACCATATAAAGAACTTTGAAATTGCTTGATAACTGTAGATTTGGTGAGCGTTTCAAAATTGCATGTTTTTTGCTCATTTTTGCTCGAACATGACCTCAGTTTGACCTCAATAACTCCTGACCTAAGGTGACCTAAGACTTGAAATTTGGTCTGAAGGTGTCAAATTGATGCCCGGGAAGGTACTGAAAATTTGGCGGCGCTGCGCGCCGCCGTTTTCTTGCTATTCAGGAAAAACCACAGGGGGGGGCAAAATGGCCCCCCCAACGGGGCGAGGGTTAAAATCGGGTACCAATCGCTGCGACTTGTAACGGCACACACGCTCGTTTTTTCCGCGAGGCTCTAGCTCTATTAGAAGCGAAACGGCGTGCTGGGGTCGTATCAACCCCTCCGAAACCCATTTTGTTTGCGGGAAAATGAGGAACTTATAGAAAGAACACCTTTCTAATTTTTTTGCATGTCGATTTGCAATGACATGAAGATTATTTTGAAAAAATAAAAATGTGAAATATTTTGGTCCCAAAAGTCATTAGAGGCAAATGAAAAAAGATTAAGGTTTTTGCTCAACAAAGAAATTTTTTCTTTGGAATTTTTAAATAGTAGTATTAATTTTTGATTCATTGCAAGCTTAGTGTTGTTTACTTTTATTGGTTGCTTAACCCGTTCTTGAGTTATAGGCCATCAAACTCACCGTTACATACCGAAGTTAAAAAAATGTAATGCAATATAACTCAAAAAGTTTTGATCTGAGAAGTCTGATATTTTGCCAGGCGTCTTTGGGGCCTATGATTACCCCTAGGACCGATTTTCATTAAAATCTGAGAGATGAGGGTGACGGGCCTGGTACGATCTATCGTGGAATGCCCCAGGATTCAAAATATCATGGGACAAATGCATGAACTCCCAAGCAGTGACCTAAATAGACAATAGTGACGCCTAAATAGACAAAAGTAAAAAACATCGGTCTCTAACTAGTACTTCTTCACCTCTCGTCCTGTCAGAGGTCTGTGACGACTCTGTCCCCGCTGAGAAGAGGGAACAAGGCGAAAAGTCAATGCGTCCGTGCCATTAAACCCATGTGGGATTGAAAATCTTTTCCACCGCTATTTGCTCCTGAATTACGATTGTGCTCCGTTGCGTGACACACACCGGTAATAGCATGGTTTTCGGCGTCAGATAGGGATTGTCTCCATTGTCAGAGCAACTGTTCGACTCTTTTTTTTTTAATAAATTTAGTCCGAACCTTTTGAATGGAAGGATTCACAAGGACAGAGCCCCCGCTAAGCGAAGCTTGTTACGTTGGCCCTGCCCTGCCCTCTACCCTCCGATCGCGCATTCCGGTTCTATGGCAGGATTGGGAGTTGAAAGTTTAACGTGCGCACATAGCCGCGTACGGCCAGTCCCCTCACCGACTTCGCCTGGCTTCGGCCTGCCACCAACCGCAACCATGCCTGTCAGAAGGCCCATAAATGTCAAGCACCCGTCACGCTCCGATCCCGGACTGTTGTAATGGGGAACGCGAGCTCTCGCCACGTGGAGTCCAACGCTCTACCGACTAAGCTACGGGACCGGCTTTAGATGGGAGCCGTGGAGCTGTCATCCCTGATATTTTGCACTCGCTAATCGATTTCCTCTCTGCATAGAATATTTATTTGGGTGACATGGCACATTTAAAGGGTATGCCACCTTAAAAAAAGATCACTGCGGCGCCCAAAATATTCGCAACTTCAAATCATATTCTACCTAAGAGCATGCCAAATTGTCCAGATAATATTTGGAATCTTTGATTTACTCTAAGCCGTCGTTCACAGAGATGTCTGAAGTCTCAATCATCACAAACATCCATAATACCCAATGCTGGAATTCTGGAGCTTCTCAATCAGAGTGACGTGGAACTCACTAAGCCACGCGGAACTCACGCTCCGCGGATCGCCGGCGCCCGCGGCTGCGCCAGCACTGACGTTCGGTGCTAGCCATATGTTGGCCGACGGAGCCAATTGTGTGCCCGATAGGAGATAACGGTGACCACAGGCTCTGTGGGGAAGTATCCGCCGTAATGGAGGGTGGAGTCGGCCAATAGCGCCTGTCACCGACACCGCATTTACATAGCGTCGGCCCTCAGGGAACGCCGCCGGCGGGAGGAGTGGAGATCAGATGTGTGTTCAGATCAGAATAGGCTACGAAAAAGAGGAGATTGTTTTCCGTAGCTGATTGTGTGTTGAGGAGCACACACGGTCGGCACCTCATACAACCTATTCTGCGGTAATGGATAATGCATCTGTTAATGTCTCAGCTCTCAGACATTCAAAAGGAACTGAAACCTTGTGGGACAAATTAGGAAAAATCTAAGCATTATTGCTCTCTCATATAATGATATCAACAAGAGCTGTTCTTATCTCTATGATCAGAACGAAGCAACTGGCATCATAGTTCACAATTTCCCAGCGTCATTCGTCGAGACCATACCACCTTCAGTACAGGGACTGGTAGCGTCCAAAGGCTGAAACAGGGACACCGTCACGTTTTAGGTTATCACGGACAATGACAAGGTAATGGCTATCATTTTCACCAAAGTCCAATGCTTCTAGCACTTCCTTCATAGCCCGACCAGGGTTTGCCCTATGAAATGTGTATCATTCACCTGCAAGCATTATTTCAGCTGCTGCAGGCATCTTGACACAGCATCCATACATCTGCATTCAAACTACACTACCCGATGCCCGCCGTCCGCCATCCGTTGTCCACCGTCCACCGTCACCAATCTCGTCCGACGACACGTGCGTCACAAGCGTCGACGTCCGCCTAGCGAAGCGTGTCATCTCACGGCGGCGGCCGGGGCGCGGTCGCAGTCTCCTCCGGCAGCCTCTCCAGCTGTCTCTCCCGCTGATGGTCGTTAGCGCGCATCGTTTCCGCGTTACCGTCGTCCTCGTGTGGTGACCACCTGTTGTCTGTGGCCAGCGGCCCCGTTCCCGTCGCCACAGCCACCGCCACATCCACCGCCACCATCGGCGACGGCGACAGTCGGCAGCGGTGGCGACGGCGACGGCGGTGGAGATGGTGGCGACTTAGGTATTTCGGTTTTGCGGCGCCAGAGGAGGCCGTTGGTCACGAGACAGTGGGTAGACGACCTTTGCTGGGATACATGTGGTGCTGAAAGAGAGTGGGGTATGAAATACATGCGTATTGGTTGGAGATCTCTGCCAGAAGTTGGGATATCTCGCGACTTTTACGAAATGCCCATTTTGGTTACCTTTCCAAGTCTCACGTTGTGAAATGGCACTAAAGCATATTCACAATGTCAGTGAAGAGGAATGTGCTATGAAGCATGAAGCTCATAGTTTCAGAAAATGTAGGCACTCACATTCATTTTGCATAGCATCTCCTCGTTTTATTTGTCAAAAGTTATCCAACATATAACACAAATAGTTGACTGATTGCAGTCAACACACATTCAGTGACATACCGACTTTTACTATGAGCAGTATTCACCGGATAAGAATTGTGACAAGTTCGCTTCCAATAAATGCAAAGGTATCAAATTTCGTTTGACGCTGAGTGACCAAAAGGCACGTGGGCTACTCAGTCAGGGCTCAGTGCCTCGACCAGTGCAGTGCCTGACCAGCCCCGGACAAAAACATCACGGCGGACCGCGGCGGCGTCCGGCCCCACTTTTTTGTCCCCACTTTCACCAGTCCGATCGGGATTGGGGCGGGCGCAGACGTCATTGCAGGGCTGGTCCTCTGTCCAACCAGGCAAATACTTTTTTCCGACACACAGGAGAGATGTGCGCGAGGTGTTGTGAAGCCGCTCTAGCGTATGATTATTCATTTTTGGCAGATGCTCTCCTTAAACCTAGCTGGCATTCTAACAATGTGACGATAAAATGCATGAACACCAAAGAGATAGCAAAACTTGCAGCCAATAAGTTCAAGGCTGTAAGCTTAGATATAGGCCAGCAACACAACATTGCTTTGCCAATCATTGCAATGCGAGTTTAATTGGGCCTAAGTAAAAAACATGTGTAAAAAAACAGCCATGCTTTTGTCACAAGTGACACGGCATTGCCACTCTATTATCGCACGCGTAGCTGACTTTGCGGCCTAGCTTCTTATACTCTCTCACCGATTATGCAACCCCTAAAAAGAGCGACCCAATTAGGCTCGGCACAATCAACAGCTAGCAAACATAGAGGCTACCTGAGATTGCATAGCTTTGGTTAATCACTGACAGAGTATTGCAAATAGTTCACAGGCCGTAGGAACTGTCATATATGCTGTCTCATGGGATTGAAAGAAGGATTCACTACTCAAACCAGGCAGAACTTCTTTCCCCTGTACCGTTCCAATGTAGCCAGTGCGTTTTTGTTCCAGCAAAGAGCCGCGGGTTCCCTGTTTGGCCCGGGGTTGGACTGTAAGTTCCCGGGGCTGCCTGTCTATTTGATTTCAGTAGTGGGCTGCGGATTCCCTGTTCTGACTCTGTCCGTTTTGTCTCAGCAATGGGTTGCGGGTTTTGAGGGCTGACATGATATATTTTGTCCTGCAGTATTGGCTACGGGTTCCGGACTCTCTAAGTTTTGTTTCAGCAATGGGATGCGAATTCCCGGGGATGACATAGCATGTTTCTGACTCAATGTGCTTTGTTTTAGCGGTTTCCCCAGCACTAACTCTCTGTGTTTTGTTTCAGCCATGGGCTGCGGTTTCCCCGGCGCGCCGGCTCACAGCACAGTGACCTTCTCATCGGACTCGATCGGGCCCGGTACCGTGGCCACCTACAGCTGCGACCGAGGCTTCGAGCTGCTCGGGCCGGCGCGTAAGGAGTGTCAGGGCAACAGCACCTGGACACCAGCCGGCATCCCCTTCTGTGGTGAGTGTGACATTCAGCCCGGCACGGCCCGGCGCGCAGCGGACACATCCCAGCCGCGGAGAAACGCCGGACGTTTTTCACCCGTCGGATCCCCCGCCGCGGCCACCGAGAATAACGCACGTGGGCATTGTTCTCCGTACACTTTCGCGTGACACGCGTGGTGGGCTTGAAACAGTCATGGCTTTAGAGTTTGCCAAGATATCTCCACGGTTTCTTGTGACAATAAGGTAAACATAAGATGCGGGAACCTATGGTGAACTGAACTGCATTCCGAGACGGCGCGCTTGTGGTCGGCACCAGAGTGGCACAAATTCACGGCAGCGTGAACGCTTAGTCACGGTTAAATTCCAACCGCAGCTCAATGAAAATCCATAGAAACCTAATGCCGCTATGAAAGCAGCTATGTATGTAAAACAAACCACTGGTCATCTCCGTCCATCCGATCCATATTCATCCATCATCGGCTGCGGGTGGCGGCGCGCCGGCTGGCCGCCCATCTGTGCCACTGCGGCCAGTCGGCGCCGCGTGTGAAACGCCGCGACGCGCCGCTTTCGTCTGCAGTCAGTAGTCACCACACCGGGTGCCGGGCGTAATGACCGGCGCCGGGCGATACTTGCTCGCCGGCGCGTGGCCGCTTAGTCAGACAGCAGCGCCCTATTAACCCGCGCCGTGCTGGGGGGGGCGTTTTTACGCCCCCCCCTCAGGTTTTTCGCGAATATCTCAAAAACGGCGGCGCGCAGCGCCGCCGTTTTTGGTACACGTGTTCCTACATCATTTCCGCACATGTTGTGAAAATTTCAGACCTAGGACGTTCAAGGTCAGGTCACCAGGTCACGTCAAGTGACCTTACCTCAGAAAAAGTTCAAAGGCTCGCTATAGCTACACCGACTGAACGATCACTTTGAAACTTTCAGCGATTGATATGAGTAACAGTATGTATAAAATGTATATCTCGGATTTTTGATATCTGTGACCAAAGGTCAGGTCAATTTTGCGACCTCTCCATTATAAGTCAATGGGAGAAAATTGAAATGCGCCTCTTTTGGACGAATATCGTTCAAAACGCTCTCAAACATCGGTTCATAGGTAAACATGACACACTGAATAGGAAAAATGCACCTGTGACCCCTCTGTGTGCCCCTGAGGTCATCTCAGGTCATGAACGGTCGCCAGCAGTTTTTTGGCTATAACTTTTGATAGAGACGTGCTAGAGCGGTGAAAACACGTCAGATGTGTTCAGCTCGACGATACGGATCGACTGATATGCAACATGACCCTTTTCGGTCAGGTCATGACCTTGACCTGAGGTCAAATTTTCAAAATGACCTTTCAAGGTAAACAAATAGTTCATTCGACGCGTCTTGACGAGAGGAACACGATGCTGGCAAAAGTAATGTCATGGCGCTTATGAGTCAAAAGTTATTGACGAAAAAACGTTTTTCGTAAAAACGGCTATTTTTGGAGTTTTTGCCCTCTGGAGGCTAAACCGTTGACCTGAGGTCAAATCTGAGAACATTATCAGAAAGGTCTGTAAAAGGGCTATCGAATGCGCTTTTCCGCGGCGCTGTAGCTCTATCGGTTCCCGAGATAGCCGTTGGCAGTTTCCAAAATGTTGAAATAGTCAACATTTTACCTTTGGTGACCTCTGGTGACCTGACCTTTGACCTGACCCAAAAAATGACCGAAGTGTTTTCGTCCTTATTTTTGACGCTCTTTCGATTGCCGCTTACCGCGTGTCGCTACGTGGCCCAGGAGCCGAGTTAGACGGGGGGGCGTGAAAACGCCCCCCCCCCAGCACTCGGCGGAAAGTTCAGGCCACCAGCACGGCGCGGGTTAAAGGGACCCTCCCACCTTAACATTAGTTTTGAGTTGAGATAGCCAAATTGGTGGCCATGGCCTGAAAATACCGGTTTGGGCATTCACAACATCGAAAAATACTTTAATTCGGAGATATGGAATTTCAAACTTGCAGTTTTCGGATTCTAAGGGGCTAATGCATTGGTATGCCCCCTTAGAATTTGTGACGTCAGCGGAGATCTAACGATTTTTAAATCTTTTACTAAAACGTTTGGCAGCACGCGGTGGTATATGCTGCTTTGCGCGCAACAAATGCCGCACTTTCAAATAAAGTCGCTAGGAACAGCGGAGATCCCAAAAAGTAAACAAAAGTAAAAGTCTAATATCTTGAAAACCGGTGAATATTTTCGATGAAATTTGGTAGATATTCATTTTTGCTCTTTCTGAACCGAGCGACATCACTTTCATGCCAATTCATTAACTTTTTTGAAGGTGGGAGGGTCCCTTTAAACCTAGAGACGCGCCGAATGGAAACCTGATTACCGCCAATGAGAAATATTACATTCATTAGCGAGGATATGGTGGAATAACGAATGTTTCGAAGAGTTGATACCTTACGAGCATGAAGAGTTGAGTGAGCGCGTGCAGTAGGCATGTAAATCTACCCGTACCGCACCGCCACTCGGCCACAGGGTTAGCGTTCTGTGCTGAGCGGCAGTCTCCGGTTCAGGGGATACTTTGCTGTGTGAAAATGCAGTCACCAAAGCGGACCATTTGAATAAAGTAGCTAGGCAATCTTGGCACCCATTAACATTAAGACCGAGTAAATGGAAAACTGCGAAGCTGAAGAGCTCCAGGTTATAGAAGCCGTTTTTCTTGAAATGAAAAGACCATACAGAATAAGACAGGGAAGCAAAACAGGGAACTAAGCGGTCATCACGTTCCTGAAATATTCCAATGAGGCGTCTAGCTCATTCATGTTTTTGCATTGGACCTCGCGTTTTTCCGCAGCATAAGCGGAGGGTGGGCTCCACATACATTATTCAATCATCCGAAATTGATAGGGACGCCCAGCGTTATGATGCCCATTACGATACCCGTTATGATAACCATGAATTACCCCACTCCCGATATTAACCCAGTCTGCAGAGCACGGAACTGGTTCAAACTCGCTCATCCTGTTGATCTTAAAGCGTAAAGTGATGCTTCTCAGACAACATAGCAAGTTTTCTCGTTCCATTTCTTTGTTTTTTCTCCCTCCCTCCCTCCCTCTCCCTCTCCCTCTCTCTCTCTCTCTCTCTCTCTCTCTCTCTCTCTCTCTCTCTCTCTCTCTCTCTCTCTTCTTTCCGATCCTGTCTTCCCTGACTTCCCATCCCAACTGTCGCAAAACTCTTGCCGCCGTCGTCCACCCTCAAGCTGCCAGTCCGTTACTCTTCGCCTTGAAGAGAGAGAGAGAGAGAGAGAGAGAGAGAGAGAGAGAGAGAGAGAGAGAGAGAGAGAGAGAGAGAGAGAGAGAGAGAGGAGAGGGGAGAGAGAGGAGACGGTGACTCCGACACGCTTCAGTGGCCTCCACTCGGCCCTCACGTCATCCTCGCTGCCTCTGTGTCTCACCTTCTCTCAAAGTTCGCCAACACCAGACTTCGACGTCATCAGCCGTAACTTCAGCGTCACCTTGCGCAAACAGACACCATAATGTTAGGAAATGCGCTATTACTCACTTATTATGCAGAGAGCTTTTTATATATGAAGCAGCGTTGCACCAGTGACGCTGTTTTTTCCACTTCTGGTGATCATATAATCCTAGTGACGCAGTATCGGTAGCATGCCCGGTGCAAGCTGGACCAATAACTGTCGTATCATGGAACTGTGTCGACACGTGTCTGTGGCAGACGACACGCGGCGGCTGACCTCTGACTTGACCCGGGCGTTGAACGACCCGCGCTGGGGGCCGCCAAGGCCAAGGATGTGGTCCAATATGTGGGCAAGGTCGCACCGCTATCATGGCTGAGAAAGCTGATAATTGTCGGCATGGAGGAGCTTTATGGTACTTACCGGAGGAAAATCAGAGCGATGAAATGCCTGTGATCTTAGGTAAATTGAGGGATATCTTTATCAGGACTATTTATATAAAAAAATCAATTTTGAAAATGATTATTCTATAACACGGTCATGATTACGCCTCGGGTCTCGTTTGTGTGAGAATGAGGCAGGATGCCGATCAGGCCGGTCTTGTATGATGTTATTACAAGCCGTGTCTGCCATTGGTCAGAGCTATAGCAGATCAATCCGGGGCTCTTATAACGATTTAGATTCGGTGCCCCACTATTTTCATGTTAAAATCTTACACTAGCTAATAGCTTATTCCCACATCATCTTCTGGTCTTGAGACTTCGTTCGAGCGCTGGCAGTGCTTCTGGACAGGTTAGCTGGCTGGCAACCGTCCACTTGACCACTCGACCACCGGAGGGAGCTCCACAAAACACTCAGCGCCCCGATCGTAAGATAACAGAGACAAAAACTCGACAATAATTGGAGCTCTGCTTTCGCTTTATACGCCAGCCAACTGGTCCAGCAACAGTGTGAAAGTGTAGCCACTGAAAAATGCGTGAACAATAACTATACAATGAACAAATAGGGACCATAGCTTTACAGGGCAGCGTGAAGATGAACATATAACATTGCGATTGCACGATTGCAAATGTTTAGTCTTCAGGCTTAAACGTATTTACAAATGCTTGAAAACTATGCAAAGCACACTATTTCAGTAGGGGAAGTTGGGGGAACGCCGAAGACTTTTTTTCTGACGCCCGTAGCACGCAAGGTAGACAACATACGCTATTCTTGTTGGCGTCATTCGAGAGGCCAGTCTTTTGCCTTTAAAACATACCAGGCGCATTTGATGAATTCGCATACCGTTAAGCGCACAGACTAAAAATATCAAAGAAGTGACTTTTTCGGCGTTGCCCCGGACTGCGGGGAAAGCCGAAAATGGGAGAAATGATCTACGGGGAATGCCGACATTGATGTTTTGCCATTTTATCTCAAACTTTATCCAGAATTCATCAAAGCTGACACACGTTTCAAGAGCTTGAGGACGCGGTGCACACTGGAAGTTATAATTGTGTGATATAATAAGAAAATGCCAGGTAAATCATTCCTTATAGGTAACAGGCCGTTGTGTCGGTTGAAAGTGTAATTTGTGT